ATGCAAAGGACCGGAAGCCTGTTAAGTTATCATTTACTCTACGGAGAATTCTTTTTGTTTGTCGCATCTGGTATTGAGCCAACGGAGGTTCTGTACCACTGTAATTCTCGTTATCGTTACATCGGTTAATATAGAGAGAAATCTCCGTGTGTATGTATATATATAATATTGTACAACTACAGTTTACGGTTTATCCTACAAGACTAGACGTACAATCGGTGGAAAAATATCGTTATTCTTCGTCGTCGGAATATCATAAATTTGCACGTAATACATTGGACGTTCTATATCCAGCAGCTTAACCTTCCCTCACGAGTACGAAAAAGTAGGTTGAGCAACGGAAACTCTTGACTTCTCCCCTTTCCCCTACCCCCTACCCCCAACCTCTGACCCATTTCCGGCTAGAGGAAAAATAACGTTTGCTTTTTCTTCCTTTCTCCTCGAAGCAGACGATTAATTCGAAACACAGATTCTCGGTGAAGAAAAATTTAGAAGATTTAAAATATATTAGAAACAAAGGGATCTGGCTATTTTTGTAAACATTCCAAATTTTAGCGATCCACGTATCTTGCAAGGCGATTTTCCAACCAGATCGCTGAATATTCAGGATTAAGAAAGAAATTTAATTAACGTGTGAATTTGGAATTCTCAATTTCCAATTTCCAATTATTTAGGAGTTCAAAAGTTGTTTGGCCCGTTATCACTGAATGAAATTTCATCCTCAATTTTTTGTTTTAATAGATATTACGGTCCTAATTATTATTTATGCGAATAATAATTAGGTTTCTTTTTTTTTTTTTTTTTACTATCCAATTATCTAAAATAATTACTTGCACTCGTTTGACTTCATGAACTTCGAAACTAAAAAGAACGCAGATGATCTGAAATTTCATTTCCTAGGATAATGATTTCCGCTCGATCTCTCAAGAGTTAGTTGAGAAAGATATTGAAAGACCTGGAATTTTCCCTCGCGCTGGAAACGATAACGAAAAATGGCTTCGAGTGGTGAAGCTCACGCTGCTGCCTCTATTTCTTCACAGCTATCGTTCCTCTTCGCGTATTTCTCCTCTTTACCACTTCGAACTGGACATCAGAAATGGCGGAGCTGCGTGACACCAATTCACACCGTGTTATCTGTATAGTTGAATTGTCTATTATCTACCTCTTACGTAATTATCTAAATGCATAATCGTGTTTCTCGAAGGTTCCCCTCTTTCCTTGCCCTTCACACGAACTGGCCAAAGGTCCTCGACTTATCATTCGCTCTATCTACACAGAGAGTCACGCAGAAAAAAAAAAGAAACATGACGTTCGCTCGTGATCGTTTTTTTTTCTTTTTTCTTTTTGTACAAAAATGAATCGCTTTTTGGGTTATTTGGGTCCTCTGGTTGAATCAGTCTGAAAAGGGGGATTTTTAACTAGACTAGGAAACACGCTCGTTGACTAGAACTGTATTCTCTCGAGAACAATTTTTTTCCTTCGAACCTTCTCCCTCGTTCGCTAATTCGCGTTGTACATTGACATTCAGTTATTACTTAAGATCGTCGGTCGTGTACCAAAAATACTCTAAATTCGTCGAGGATGGAGATCTCTGTCAAATTCGTTTATAATACTTGACTCCAAGTAGGGAGAGCATTGTGACTCACATGAGGTGTTCTTGAATTTAAGAGAAGCTGGGCAAGGCAGGATTATTTATGTCGGCTAAGCTTCAATCTTGAACTCTCTACTAAGCCGGAAGGGCACAAAAATTTCGCGTGTTTTAAATTTAACAAAAAAAAAAAAAAAAAAAAAAAAAAAAAAAAGA